AGTGGTGGGGTGGGGTAAGACCCTTTGTCCAGGGTGGGACACACACACACACACCCGCGCGCGCACACACCTTTGTCCCGTCTCGTCCTCCTTTTCATGTCTTCATCCTTTTGTCTTTGCTGCGCGCACGCACACTTTCACAACCGTCCTAGCCTTAATTCTTTTCGCCTCTGCTCGGGGAGGCGTGTGTGTGTGTGTAACCTTGGAATCACAGGGATCCTTTGGGATTGTTTTTTGAAGCTCTTTCAAGTTGCAGGGGGCACCCGGTGTGCTGATGAGACCGGTGCTAACAAAGACGCTCATCAGTCACCTGTGATACAGTTGGAGACGTCCAACTACGTACCTGCATTTGCACTTTGAGAGCCTAAGTATTGCAAAAGCTGTCCAATACGTTGTTTCTGCATTCCGTCTTGCTGCAGTACAGGGCTAGCGCATCGGCGACTGACCTTGGAACTTTCGTGAGCTTGGGGCATGAACTTGAACTTGTTTTTGGAGTCTTTGGAGGTTTCTTGGAATTACCGTTTTTCCACTTACCTGGCCTCTTAGGTTTTTCACTTAGGCTGGCGTGGCAAACCGCAACCAAATCAGTACGCATTCTATAAGTGTGCGTGTGGGGAGAGAGAGAGAGAGAGAGTCAAATCGCCAACACATCCAGCCTGGTCTTCTCGGCAGATGGTGCCAACACGGCAAAGCGCTCGGCTGCAGTTTGTGCGTGGCCTTACAGTCGCACGTGGCCCTGGGTTGTTTCCAGACCCAAAATGATTCTTCGATGAAATTCCCTTTATTTGGAAATAAGGGAAGCTCCTGGAAAAGCAAACACCTAGCTTGATGGGTTCTATATCCATCGAAAGGAACCACCATCAACTTGATGCGCTGGTTCTGGTGCTGGCCAATACAAATCAAAATCATGTCAATGTTTGTGTGATCATGTGGTTTGGAATTGGTCGATGCGAGGGGTCGATCACATCATGGTCACATCAGATTAGCCGTTGACTCTGGCAGAAGCATATGTCAAGCCACCTGCATCATCCTGCGTAATTCGCATGCGGAGTTGCATTGTCAAAGGTTTGAACTCTTCATTTTTCCGGAGATCGAAAAACAAATAAAAAGGATCGGTCAAACAAATGCCCACTCTTCAGGTCTCGGTCGACGCCGAGACCTGAAGTTACTGCTTTTTACCCTGGGACCTTTCGAGCGCCTACCACAAAGCAAGCTAACACTGACAGTTTCATGCGACCAAAGCATGCGAACCCCAATGGACTTCAGCAATCTTCAGCAGGTGTTCAGAAATCGATACCATTTCAATGGGCGGTGGTACCCTTTTGATCCCTTTTGAGGAACGAAACTGGGTTGAAGCCACTTGAAATTCTCCCCTGGCGTACAGTGTAAGATCCATTAAAGCCCTGTGTGGCTTGCTCTGGTGTGGCAAGGTGCTTTTAGGCTTTGACTCCCAAGTCGTTTCCCTGGAAAAGAAAGGTAAACCAAACTCGCCACCTGTTGGTTTTGACTTCAGACACCAATCCCCCCAAAGAGGTTGGACAGATTATCCACTGACTGGGGGCTCTGTCATACACAGCTGAGCCAGCTGTAATTCTCGGAGAGCTGTGGAACAGCGTGGAACACTGAAGTGCCGGCTCTGCTGGTCAAGTCCATCTTGCCACAAACGCACACGGTGCCACAAACGGTCTTCAGGTGGCCCCGGCCATTCGCGACCTTGCCATTGGCCTCGAAACCCGAACGGAGGACAAAGGAGCTAAAACGAGCAAATCTGCAGAAACGCGAAGTACCAAGTCATACCCAACGAATCGGCCAGAAATCCTAACTCTGAGCTCGGAGAAAGACTCCTTTTCCGTCTCGAACCGCGCGGAGAAGTTCGTTGTTCTCGTTTCGGCCACCGTGTCGATTGCTGCCTCCGACTTGGTGTCTTTGCCCCAGGTCGAAGCCTCCAACTTTTGCAGAGCTATGACGAGCACAGTTTCACAGCACAAACGCTTTCGTTGACTGCATACCGTTTTGTCAGGAAATCCAAGTGGGACCGCACATTAGTTACAGGTGAGACAAGAACCGGAATGATCTGACTCTGATGTGTTTTCATGTGTTTTATTCATCTGGCCTTCCAATTCTCCCGGTCTGTGTTCCAGTCATCCCAGCCTCCCACATCGTCGGAGACCAATGACCGCAATGAAAGTCTTGGAAATCGTTTGTGGGTCTGCTAACCAAGCAAGTTATATATGAACACTATAATATATATATATATATAGGAATTTGCATGGAGTCCTTACTGGTGAGAAGGCCACTAAGAGAAAGGGCCGGGCCATGCCATGCCCTACAACTGTCGACGGAAGACTTACAATTCAGCATGAGAAGTTCAAGCTCGGCTAAGCAAAAACGAAACCCAGTGCAGTCCTTCATGGCCATATCTACCTGGGTGTCGGTGGCCATCGTGCCGAAAAAGTAGTTTCAAGAATGATCGAGAAATCCCGGACAGGGGCTTTCGTGAACAAAGGTTGAAGCAGAGTTTAAAAATAAAAAACAAAAAACTGACTAAAGCCCTACATCGTATCACTTGCTTGCGTTTTTGGCTTACACTTTGCTTACGCGACCTTAAGAAAGAATCCTATCCCAAACCCTTACACCAACCTTACGATACCATAGACTCATGTTATCTAACTTCTTTGGAAGCTCGGTATGCAGCTGTTCTCGCAGCTATCCTTTCAAGCCCTACAATACTCACACAAGTGGCTGGTCTTAAACTTCCCGCCGATGTGTGTGTGTGTGTGTGTGCCTGTGCTCACCAGATTTGAGCAGTTGAAGTTGCAACCCTTCAAGTGCTAACATAGTCAAGAGATGTCAAGAGCAGCTTCCCAAACCAACTGGGAACCATATTCCACCCGCCGCCCCTCTCCACGTCCCCCTCTTTGCGCGGTCCAGGTTGCGGCCGTCTTCCCGGCTGCGCCACGGCATGAGACGGGGAACGTGGGACAGACGGGTCTCCAGAGCTGTGTGATGTTGGTTTCGCAGGTCACTGCGAGGGCTCGGACGTGGTCGGAGGAGCTTGGCGTCAGTCAAACGTCTTGTAACAACGGAACCCATGTGTCTTAGGAGCCCCGTTCGTAGTGTCGCGATGCCAGCCCCGTGTAGCTAGCGTCCTTGAGGTGGAAGGAAAAGGAGACCCCAAATGCGAACGAAGACTTGGGGAGTCTTCATATGTCTTCATGAATGTGTTTTTCGAGGCGTTTTGCTGTTCCCCGGGGCAGCTGTGAGCAACCCTTGGAACTACTCTCATTCAATAAAACATGAAGAAGGTGGAAGATGAGCCCTTGGAAAACCCTGTTCCTTTGCACAACGGATCCCCTTGCATCACAAAATGATGATCAAGATCTGGAGAAAGCAGGAACAGGTTAAAACAAAACCAACAGCAATCGTGGCTTTGGAGATCTCGGGTGTGGGCCTGAAATGGAAGCTGAAAGAGCTCTTTACCCATAAAGAGACTCCTGTCCTATACTTGTCTGGCCATCATCTCATGTCTGTATCATAGCTCGCCGAGCTAGAAGCCAAAGCTAAGCGGTCGGCCAGCTATGGAAAGAAAGGCCAAACCATAGCCGACCATGAAAAAGCGATCGACGATGCCAAAATGAAAAGGATTGAAGAAGTATCTAAGCCACAATTTGTTTGCACTCTGCACCTCTTTGGCAGAAGAACATGTCCACAGCGACAGGCCCGAGCGACAGGCAAGCCAACAAAGCCACACACGGCGCTGTCAGTGGCTCTTTTCAGTGGCTCAGCCAACCGTCGATATGGTGAAACCCTTCGACTCGGGCCATCACAGGATTTAGACGCTTTGGGGGGGCCCTTCCCTTTACCATATTCTTTGGGGGGCCCTAGTGCAAGACACATCCACGTTCACTCCAACCTTCCTCTTCCACGTCATGTGGCGATCAATGAAGACAATACCACGCATATGTTGATGGCCCCAGCACCTAGACCAGAGGCACTCACATGCTCAAGCGGATTCGAGAATGGACAATGCCTCCTGCAAGCCTGCGAATCGCTGCGGCGAATCGGTGCTTGGCAGGTCCGGAATCAAACAATCCCACCTTTGGCATCCTTTGGCCACCTCGCCTATCGGACGCCTGCGGAAACCGGACTATAGGACTCCTAACGTGCTCCGTGCCCCCACACTCCGTGGCCCCCGTGCGACGAATCGCTCGTCGCACCGCACGCTCCGTGAAGGCTAACCCTCAATGCATCGGGCAGTCGGGCCATGTTATGAGGGAAATCGAAGCACGGAACAGCGAGCATCTCTTTGGTTTTTAATGGAGGAATTGCTTTTGACGCTTTAGTTGGACTCTTTCTTTAGCAAGTGGGCAGACACCTGCATCGGACAAGGCACAGGCACCTTCCATTTCCTTCTGGCGCTTCGCCATCCGCTCCTCTTTGGTTTCGACCTCACAACGCGTCGCGTGATTTGCTTTGCTGCATCATGGTAATGAGATGTAATGAGTCGGTTTGAGTGAACACTTGCTCTTGAAAAGACTATGTCAGCCCCTACATGATCTTGGTCTTGTGGGAATAAGTATATTATGGGAATATGAGTAGAATTGACCAGAATTGCAAGTGCATCCTTGCTGCACGTGGGATTGTAGAGCTAGCTTCTGATCAAAACTTCTCTTGCCACTCATGAGTGAACAACCCAGTCGTGTGTGTGTGTGTGACCCGTGACTCAAACATCTTAAAACCATGACCACCACCGACCGCGGAGCTGTGGTCACACGTGGCCCGTCGGGCCGGTGGCGAGCTCATGACTCCATGACTCCATGTGGAGTGACATAGCTGGAGGATCGCTGGGTCCGCCATCCAACCCCAAGGTTCGCCGGGCGAAGCACCAAAGCCAACCCACCCAAAAGGAAGAGGGGGTCGGCCAGCTTCGCGGGGGCGAAGGTGTTCAGTGAAGGAGGGGGCCTCTTTCAAGTGGGGCGACCTGCAGCCCTATGGGTTCCAAGTTCAGGCAATGCACCTTGGCAGTGCACTCCTCCTTGAGCTTGGCCAAGTACCTGAAACAGTCGTCCAACCGCTTGACTCTAAGAGCCCATGGGCCTTGGCCATATATGGCCTCTGATTGAGCAAAACGCCGAAATTGTAGGTACATCTAAACTCCAACTGAAAAAGCCTACAAAGCACATCGAAGCACTCAGAGCATTTCTTTCCGAGCTCATTGAGGTGTGCATCTGGCAAGTTCTGGCCACAGCTGTCCCGGCGACCGTCTATCACAGCTCACTCAGTGACAGCTTCGAGCTGCTGCTGAGCAGAGGCTGTATCGGACCTCCGGGTCTGCGCTTTTGGGGGTGTCAGACTGCTGCAGACGGATGTTTTGGTCAAAGGTTGTGAGATGCTTGAAAGATTTCGCCTAGAATGGAGATGAATGGAGCCTAGAAGCATAGCCTGCATGAAGCATTGGCCAATGAATGACATGGGCAGGACATGCTGGCACGCGGCCTCAACTCAGTAGCGCTGCGCTCCAGATTTGTGGCCTGGCATCACAAGACCAGCCACGTGATGCGAGTCAAGTGTCTGAAATGTGTGAAGTTCAACTTGTGAGTTCAACTACCAAACGAAAGTCAAGTTCAGCTTCCTACCTCGAATCGAGGATTCCTCAGCTTGGAGAACCAGCAATAAGCCAAGCCCATCTGGAAGATCTCTCGGTCTGTGGTTTATGTGATTTTGCCAGTGTCCGTCCCGGAATCCCGAGGCCCTTTTCAGCCTCTGTGGTCTTGTGCTTTACATCGGCTTCCTTCTGAGCTTTCACCACCTGGACGGTCGCGACGACTCGACGACAGTTGAGCTTCCGGTCGCAAATCTGGTACGAAAGAGATTGCCAGCTGCGTCTGCGGCTGTAAGTCGAAGCATGCTCTCCATTGTGCCCCAGTTCTAAATGAATAGTTGTATAGAGATCATAAACACTCATAAGCAAACAAGTTGGTTCCAGTGTGATAGTGTCTTCAAACAAGTTTGCTCTCTGAGAGCTGTAAATATTAGTTTTGTTCTAGGGAAGCGATTCTAGAATCTTAGGTTTCTGCCTCAGCGTAAGCTTGTGAATGCCGAAGCAAGAAAAACCGGACCATGACTGTGTATATAAGTACCTGGTACTTGGTCGACACATTCACCGTTCCTCAAAATGCAGGGCCTTGCTTTCCTGCATCAGCTGTTCGAAGTTGTCTTGGGCATTTCTGTCCTGAAAGCGATTGAAACGCTGGAAATCCTTGCCAACTCCTCAAGAATTATGTATTTGTCTGTCCATGTCCTTGATTACTCCAAAAGCGTGAAGGCCCAAGTCCTGAGACTGCAAATCGGCCATGTTCCGGGCAAAGTCTGACTCCACCACCTGTCGGTCCCAAAAAAGCAAGCTGGCAATGAACATCTTCAATCAACTCTCCCATGCGCTCAGAACCGTGTCTCTCTATGCCATCTCCCGGGATTCTGTGGCAGATGCCGCCCAACAAAGCCCAACACTGCCTGGTCTTCCCTTCTCCGCCCTCTTCCTTAAGAACTCGCCCCGTGCTTAGCAGGTCATTCCTTTGGCCACCAGCACGGAGTTTCCGGCCTCCAGAAGGCTGATGACGCCGGCCTTGGCTCCGTGGCGGGCGGGTCTCAGAGGAGTCGTGAAACGTGAGCTCGTGTGTGTGTGTGTGT